CCGGTATGTCTGTCTCAGGGTCCGTACGCGCTGCGCTCTGAAAACTTAGTATCCGCAAAATGCGAAGTTTGAGATTCTTACGATGCAAAAAAATATAACTGTGAAGGGTTCAGCATTCAGAAAATGGCAAATCAAAAAAATCAGGATCGGCCAAAAAATTTGTCTGAAATTTCAGACAATCCGACTAAAATAGTCTGATAAAATCAGCCCTACTAGTAGTACCACACTGAGTTGCGTGTCTCTTGCCCGGCACTGCCCCTCATCTAACCTAGGGGGTGTGTCAAACATATGTGTATATGTTACTATAAGCTAGATAGGTGCTTACTCTTAGAGAGTACAACACCTTAGTGTTAAATTATATAACAAATATAATTTAATACACCCCCTAGGCTTGGTAGCGGCAAGCCTACCACACACACAGCACACTAAGCCACACACCCCCTAGCACCCCCATACTCAGCAGCAGCGACAGCTACTTCAGCACGGTCAACCCCACGGCGCGTGAGGTGGGGCGACGTCGACAACGAGGGCAGCGGCTGCAACGGCGGCGACGGCGGCAGCGTCGACGGCGGCGGCGGCGGCGGCGGCGGCGGCGGCGGCTTGCGGCAGCGTGGCCAGCTGCACTTGCTGCGGCGGCGGCGGCTTCGACGACAGCTGCCGGCGGCGGCAGAGCTCGCAGCACCCAGTGGCGTGGCCGGGCTCCGCGACGGTGGGACAGCCGAAGCGAGTCAGCCGTCGGCTGTGGCAAGGTAGAGGGGACGCAGGGGAAAGGGGGTGGGGCTTCAGCAGCGGAGCCCGGGAGCGTGCCGTCCCATGTGGCGCGCTGGCTGCATGCGGGCGTGCTGGCCAGCGCTAAGACGGGGCGCTGGCCGCTGCCGTCCATGCCGTCCGCGCGCTGTCGCGTAGACGCCGCGGCAGCGTGATGGCGCCGCCATGCCGCCACGGCTTGACATCGACGACGACGCCGTCACGGCATGACATCGACGCCGCGACAGCGCGACGCTACGGCAGCGCGTCGTGACGGCCGCGGCAGCACGACGCGGCCGCCATGGCAGCGAGAGAGAGAGAGAGAGAGAGAGAGAGAGAGAGAGAGAGAGAGAGAGAGAGAGAGAGAGAGAGAGAGAGAGAGAGAGAGAGAGAGAGAGAGAGAGAGAGAGAGAGTAGAAGAGCGCGGCGGAAGCATGAGGAGCAGGCCCACAAGGAACAAACTGCTTTGATACCATGTCACACAGCTAGGTAAGTTAGGAAGGAAGGCGTCCATGAAATGGCGAGAGGTTTAGGAGCTAGGAGGGAAAATTGACGAGAGGAAAGAGGGTGAAATAGAAGAGAGAGAGGCATACAAGGAGGGAGTTGTACCCTCTACAGTAGAGTTTGATAACCTACCAAGCCTAGAATTATATAACAAATATAATTTAACACTTAGGTTATATTCCCTTGTACCCCATTATTCTAGTCAATCTTTTTACTATGAGACAAGGAACATATAGGGTTTGAATTTTACCCTCTAAGAACACAAACCCATCTAGCCTATAAATTTGACATATAAGCATATGTATTATTTGACAAAGAGGACAAATTTTGTAAGTGAGGTGAGGGGAGGAGATTGTAGGAGGGTGGAATAGAAGCTAGGTCAAAGAGAGAGAAAAGAGGGGAGTGTTTTGTACGAGAAAGATACTAGGAGGTGACGAATGAGAATGGAGAGACAAGGGAAGGGAAGTGGGAGGACATGGAGCATGATGAATCACGAAGTAGCAGGACTTAAAAAGTTGCGTATGGGGGTTTCGTTTCTGGTGCCTCTAGTGATGTTGAGTCGAAAAGCAGATTATATTACAACGAGAATTACAAACGCAGGATTCAACTAGAACGACTAAAACGCGATTGGTGTCAAACGGGAACCCCAATTGCAGGTTTTCGTTGTTTGGTTTTATTCTGGAACGCGATTGGGCTGGGGTCAAACTGCACAGGGGTGGTGAGCCTGCTGTGCTGGCATGGCGAAAAAATCGCGAGGTGTTTGTATCTGACGGAGGGCGACATCTTGGGAACACAAACGCTGGATTGGTGGGACCAGATGCGAACTGATGCTCACCGCGATGGTTGTTGGGGTTTCGATTGGCCATGAAGTTTCTCCCCTGCCCACAGCTTCAGCTTGACACCTTGGTACACCATTTCTCCTTTATTGTCTCAGTCGGAACAATCTATATTGTTATCCCACCTACCATGTTCTCTGCATGCCTGGCGTTGAGACTGAACCTAATTGGTTGCAGTCTGAACGATGGCGATAAGTCAAGTCGTATGTCAACAATTGCGAGAATTTGAGCTGGGAGGTCGCAGTGGCAAACTTATCTAGTCCATGAGCGAGAATCGTGACCAGGTGACTGTGTTTACTGTAGGTTTACCCTTCAATGTCCCGTTTGCCCGGGTTTGACCGTTTCCTGCTTACAGGCTTGAGCCGCGTGCAAAACCCGTAAGACCCAATAGGAGAAAAGGTGGGACCCAAAAGCCGTGTATACCAGGTGTCCATGGATTCTTGGAAAATTGACCAGGCCCACCCCCAAAACTGTGTCCATTCACCACCAATTACGAGAAACCGTTCTTTCACTTGATGGCCCATTCACCGAGGTTTTGTGGCACCTGCGACATGGCAGCAGCGAAAGTGTCCATGCAAAGGAGCTCGCGAAAGCACAAGTGTCAACTTAACGGCCCATTCTCCTGTGGCGAAGTCTAGCAAAAATAGTGCGCGCATTACGCTCACGCGGTTCGTCAAAAACGAGGCTACTAGTTGCGCACCCGGTGTACTGTACAGGTCATATTCTCTGAGCACCTAGGGGGCGACGCAAGAGATTTCCCTTTCAACGAATACTGGCCATACGATAGGGGCAACATGGACTATGGGGTTCCTAGGAAATGGGGCGTTGTTTTTTGTGTATTGTGCATGGGCGGCTTGACTGGCGTATGCAGCGACTGAGTAAACATCGCCATATAGTAAGCCTCTCCACCTGTGTATCAACTCCGTGTTTCAAGAGAATGTCAGATTCCTTAGCGCTTTCCTTGTCGCGTTCCTATTGGCTGTGGGTGGACGGATTTTCCTGGGGCAACGCCGACGGATTCCGTTGGCGTTGCAGGCGTAATTCTACCTGACCGTCAACGAGCTGGTCATATCTAGCGCATCAGGTGGATTTTTCCCTCGACATTGGTTGGCGAGCCAGACACCAGGCCCCTAGAAGTCAGGAATTTTTTCCTGATTCAGGAAAAAAATATGGAGTTTCTTTGTACTTACCCTGATTGTGGGGGATTTTGTAAATAACACACCCTATTTTTTCAGGCTTTTTGTAAGGGTAAACTCTGATTGCTCAGCAAGGTTTCTTAGCAAACCCTGAATTTCTCAGCATTGTAGCGGGTCTTAGTCCTTTCCAGAAGCCTGTCTAGGGGGGGCAGTCAAGAATTTCGAGGTTCTTTCTCTCCCCCTTCCCCCACCCCCCGAGGCTGTGTAAGGGTGCTGATTGGCCCTTGGTAAAAAAATCTCCGCGTTGTATGTTGGAGGTCGTGTGAGGGAGGTCATCGGCCCTTAGCCATGTATTCGCCTCGATGTGTACTGAGGGCTGTGTGAGGGCAATTGCTGGCCCTCTGCCAAATTTGCTTGATGTGTGCCTGACCTGGGGCTCTGCGAGGGAAGAGATTCCCTCCGCCCCTGCAATCTCGTCGCCTCCCCCCCTACTGAGCCCCTTCCTCCCTCTCCCCCCCACCAATTGTCGTTTCCTGCCCATTCTCCAATCTCACCCCACACGCGCGAATTCGCTACGAATCCCCAGCACCCCCAACAACCAAGACTTGAACACACATAACATAATTTATGAACTAAAACATGTATAGAAAGATAGAGAAATCATGATTTTTTTTTCAAGTAATTCTGATGGCTTATGATTTTTTTCTCGAAGATCCTGAAAATTCAGACTTTTCTGCAGCGAGAATCCTGATGGATCAGGAAGCCTCAAAACCAATCTAGGGCCCTGCCTTACACATCTGGATTTTCATAGGATCGCTGAGTCATAAAGTCACCAGTCCTAACCACTGGGACAAGAAGGGATGTCATCAGGAGGGTTAGGCTCCATATATCCACCTTCCCCAGGGAAAGCCTCCCCAGTACCCTCCCTAGAGAGAGAGAGAGGATCGACAGGGTTATCCCAGTGCCACGACACACCCCCCCGCTGGGATAGCGTGTACACCAGGAATTGAACCCCAGATGGCTTTGATACCAAGTCAGAATGAGAACTGAATGATCAGTAGAGAGAGAGTACAGGTGAATATACCTAAGTGTTGTACCCTCTAAGAGGTGGCCCTATACAGTCTATGCAAACATAGGAGATACACATGTTTGACACGTCGACCACTAGGTGTGGTCGCACTGAAAACACAAGAGCAAACTGATTGGACGGCCTTGGATCAGCCGAATTGACTGTCTAATATTCTGTTCAGTTGAGACGGGTACACTTTGCGTACAAGGAATGGACCTTAAGGATAAATTGCCTATGGAATACTCCTCGGCGTAAAAGGGGGTCGTCTACAAGGCATATGACTTGCACTGGGTTTCGCTTGACCTTGAGACGGCGACTCGGACTGCACAACTGAGAAAAATACCAAGCCCAACCCAACTCAAACCAGCCCAAACCAAGCCAACCCAACCCATCTCTCACATGCCATGCAACATCGGCGAGCCCGGTAACCAGGCGGTTTGCGTAACCCATACCGCGGCTTGATGCCATGTTGCGCGGCTTGCCTAGCAGCCAGACATTGCAGTTGGCATCAAGGCCTAGGCGAAGTGATGTCGGGAAGGGGGGCGCTGGGGAAGGGGGTAGAGTGGGGGCAGTGGGGCGAGGGGGAGCGGGAAGTGGGGGTTAGGAGGGATAGGACAGAGCCGCCAAGGGATGTGTGTGTGTCAGGGGGCAGAACGGGGGTGGCCGCGCCACTAGCAGTTGCAGCAGCGTGTCCTCCTCGCTTCCCCGCATCCCGCGCGCTCGCTCGCTCGCCTCGCTGGAGTACCCGTTGCTCCGCGAATCAAACGCCGATTGGTGGGAGGCGAGGCGAGGCGAGGAGAAAACTCGGCCCGGCTGGCTGGCTGGCACTCGTGAACTCTGCGATCACGAGCGAGCAGAAACACGTCGCAGGCAGTGCGCTACACAGTACGGCGCGCGCGATGGATTATTGTCGACTTGACGGCAGGCGAGCATGCACGAGGCGAGGGCATGGATGCTCGAGAATGCGGATAAGAGGGCATGCCATAATGCAAAGGGGGTCGAGGAGTCAAGCACTGTCAGACTGCCGCACAGCCGCGAGCGATTAACGCGTTGCTTTCGAAGCAGCATTCCCCGCGAGGCCCCCCGCAGCTCTCGTGCGCGCGCTCACACTTCATGAGGGGTCTCGGCACCTGCCAGCCTGTCAGTCGTTCTGACGGCGAGCGAAACGAGTCGGGCGGACAGTCATACAAGGGACGGTGGCGAGGGAGCAGACGAGAGACCGCTTTCATTCACTGAATTTCCCAAGAGCTTGCCGCGATTCACTGACATACCGACAGCGAACAGCCAAGTAGGCCGCCGCACGGCGCTAACGACATGGAGTGCGAGCAGCAGACGACGCGAGGCGACAGCTGGCGAGATCCAAGGCACTCATCGAGCGACGACGATTCGATGCACGACGCCGCGACGAACGACCCCTCAGCCTACGACGCCGTCGACGGGCCCGCGGGGAACCTTCCGCGGAGCGAGGGAGGGCAGCGGGCGGGCGACGGCAACGGGGGCGCGCGCGAGCGCGAGAACAAGCTCGGATGGAATCCGCGCGGCGGCGGTGCCCCGCGGCCGAGGCGGAGCAATGGTGCTCAATTTCCGCAAGCCGCCGCGACCGCAGCCGATGCTGGAGGAGTCGGAGTCGCCGTCCGACTCGCCTCCAGGGCTGTCGTCGCCGATCGCCATCGCCATGTCCGACTCGCAGTCGCACTCGCGGTCGCAACGACAGCGGCGACGATTCGCCAAGCCCGTCGCACGGCGATAGCGGGTTGAGCCAGTCGCCCAAGTCCAGCGGCTGCACTCTCCGCGCGCAAGGCAGTGGCAGTCCCGGCGCGCGTGGCGGAACGGAGGGCGCGCGGGTGATGCGGCAGCAGCAGCTGCCGCCGAGCCACATGTTCTGCCGGCTGACGGCCGTCACGCTTCAGGTGCCGCACCCATGCGCGACGCCACACCCGCGGCATCACTACTACTGCTAGTACTAGCAGCAGATGCTCGCCTACTGGGTTTGGCCACAATGCCGCACATGCACCACGCTATTTGCCCTTGGCGCCTGACCCAATGCTTCTCAAACCCCGTGCCCGTGCCCATGCCCATGCCCATGGCTCTCTCACTCTCTCCTCGTCCCCCCTCCGCTCGCCGCCCTCTGCCCTGCGCGCAGGCGGACGAGCGCACGCACGAGCTCATGGTGCGCTTCGAGCTGCAGCCCGTCCACGAGGTGAGCAGCGGTGGAGGGAGGTGGGGAGTGGTGGAGGTGAGGGGCAGTGAGGTATTGGAGTGCTGTGATTCGAGCTTCAATCCAAGCACGGCTTGGCTCTCTCCCTTCTGCCCCAGCGACCGCCGCAGAGAATTCTTCCTGTCAACAACTCACCTTTCCTCCCCCTCTGTGCGGCCCTTTGCAGGCAGAGGCAGCGCGGGTGCAGGCCGCTGCGAGCTATGAGGCGCGCAAGGCGGGCGCGGGGGGGAAGAGAGGACAGGAGCACGGCAGGAGGGGGGAGGAGGGGGAGGGGAAGGAGCAGGAGGCGGAAGAGGGTGAGGAGGAGGGCGGCACTGAGATGGACGGGGCGGTCGAGCAGGTGCCACGTCAGGCGGGGCTGCAGGCGGCGGTGCACACGAACGTGGCGCTGCACGCGCGCCTGCACATGTGCTGCAAGCACCTCTCCTCGAGCGACGCCGCGCCGCACGGCGGCTTCTTCATCCCGCGCAAGGCCGCCGAGTCGCTCTTCCCCGCCCTCGTGAGCCGCGTCTCTGCTGCTTCTCCACTCTACTCTTGTGCCCTTGTGTGCCTCTGCTGCTCCCCCCTCACGCCCTTTGCGTCACGCGTGAGCCTGCTCCAGCGTGCCATGCCGCTGCACTTCCTCATCCGCTCACATCTTTCTCCCCTGCACTGTGTGGCTCCGTGGCGTGACACTACATGGCATGGCATTGCATTGCATGGCATGACACCATTGCAGAACGCCAACGAGGAGGGGCCATGTCAGCAGCTGGTGGCATCTGACGTGTTTGGCCGCGATTGGAACTTCCGCCACGTGTACCGCGGGTCGCCGTGCCGCCACCTGCTCACGGCGGGGTGGAGCGCGCTGTGTGCCTCATGGGGGCTCGCTGCCTCCGACCGCATCGTCTTCCTCCGGTCAGTGCGCTCCCTGCGCTCACTGTGCCCGGGGCTCCTTCCTGCAATCATCGCCGCATCGCGGGCTTGTGCCGCCCTGTTGCCGCCTCACCCTGCCATGCCCCCCCTCCCTTCCCACCCCCTGCAGGGCGGGCAACGGCGCGCTCAAGGTGGGCGCGAGGCGCAGCGAGGCCGTGGTGGCGGCGCAGCAGAGGCGGCAGAGGGAGCAGGAGAGAGAGAGGGGCAGGCTGGCCATGGATGCTGCGTGCAGTGCGGGCACAGTCAACGGGGAGCAGGGCAGGGGGGGTGCGGAGGGGTGTGGGGTGGGCAGCGTGGGTGCAGGGACAGCTGCCGCAGGTGCAGCGGCAGCAGGCGGCGGTGGTGGAGCAGTGGCACCAAAGCAAGTGCTGGAGTGGGCGGCGCACTGCCATCACAAGAAGAGGCCGTTCTCTGTCGTCTAACACCCCTGGTAACCGCCCCTCCTCTGCCATGCCTCTCCTCCTGCCCTCGTCCTGCCTTCTCTCCATTCGTCCTCTCCTCTCCCTCTCCTATCCTGGCCTTTTCTCTCCTCGCTCTGCTCACCTCCCACCGTCCATCCCCCTCCCAACCTCAAACCAGCCCTGTCCCTCCCGCCCCTCCACTCTCCCTCTCCCCTTCGGCCTTTCTTCCCCCGTCACTCTCCCCGCTCATATCTCCTCCCTCGGCCCCCCGCCCTCCTCCTCCCCCTCCCTCACCCCAGTCTGGCAGCCACCCCAGCGCCCTTCATCCTCCCGCTGGGGTCGTTCTGTGCCGCGCTGCGCCTCAAGCAGCGCCTGGCGCCGGCCACCGAGGTGCGCATGACGTTTGAGACGGACGAGCTCGCCGTGCACCGCCTGCACGGCACCGTCACGGCCGTGCACCGCGCGGTGAGCGGCGTGTGGCCCACGTCGCAGTGGCGGTCGGTGCGCGTGCGCTGGTTCGACTGCGACCCCGCGCTGCCCAAGCCGCCCCTCGTCTCCCCCTGGCACCTCGACGACGCGCTCCCCTCCGCGCCCCCCCGCCCCTCCCCCTCCTCCTCCTCCTTCTCTGCGCCAACCCTTTCCACCGCCACCACCGCCACCACCACCACCTCCTCCTCTCTCACTGCCGCCTCCTGCCCCTTCCCCTCCGCCTCCTCCTCCCCCCGCGACTCCCGAGCAGCTCGCCCCAGCTTTCCTTCCCCCTCCGCCTCTCCCCCCATCCACCCCTCCCCGTCCGCCCTCATGCCGCCCCCTCCCTCCCCTTCCACGCCCACGGGCGCCTCTTCCGCCCCGCACTTTCCCCCCACGCCCTTGCGCCTGCCCCCCTCCGCCTCCGCCTCCGCCTCCCCCGGCGCCCCGCGGCGCATCAGCCTGGCGGAGTGGCAGCAGTGGCGCGCGCTGGTGAGGCAGTCGCCCCCCGACCAGCTGCTGCAGCTGAAGCTGCCTGTAAGGGGGATGGGGGTGGGCGGGGAGGGGAAAGGGGGGGAGTGTGGGAGGGACACAGGGGGTGGGGATGGTGGGATGGGAGGGGAGGAAGGTGGGGTAAGTGAGGGAGGGCGGAAGGGGAGCATGGAAGGATGGAGGGATGTGGTGAGGTTGGAAAGCGCGTGGAAGCTGTCAGCACTAGCGGGGGGAAAGGGACCTGCCACGTCAGCAGAGGCTCCTTCAGAAGCCGCCGAGGCATCAGAGGCGTCAGCATCAGCGTCAGCATCAGCATCAGCTCGGCTTTCCCCTGCAGCATCCAGCGCTGCAGTTGCATCAGAGAGCCAGCAGCAGCAGCAGCGGGTGCCTGCTGCCCCCCCCCTCTCTCACTCCATCCCCCCAACCATGGCTGCTCCGCTGCGCCCCTCCCACTCCCACTCTCGCCTCCCCTCACTCCCCCTCATACACGCGCCCTCCCCCTCACACTCCGGCATCAGCAGCGGCCACAGTGCTGCCACGCAAGCACATGCGGGTGCCACCATGCCACAACCGCCAGCAGCAGCAGCGGGTGGGCGTGAGAGCAGAAGGGCTGCCACCACCCCTCGACACAGCGGTGGCGTGTTGGCAGCCGTAGGAGCGCCGTCAGGCAGTGGCGTGCGCAAGCGAGTGCGCTTCCAGTGCGGCGTTGACCCGCCTGCGCCTGCTCCGCACCCTGCCATGCACCCCACCCACGAGCACCGCCCTCTGCTGGCCCCCCCTTCTGCTGCCGGGCCCCTCTCCCCCGCTGCTCGCCCCCCCTGCCCCACTCGGCCCGCCAGGCTGTCACTCACCTCCCTGCTCCCATGCACTAGCTGCCACGTGGCTGCTGACTCATCAGGCGAGCGGCCAGCCAAGAAGGCAAGGAGTGCTGCCCGTGATGTGAGGTGGCAGAGTGGTGATGTGGAGGGGCGTGCAGAGGAGGGGGGAGAGGTGGACGGGGAGGAGGACAAGGGGGGGTGTGAGGAGCGAGTGGTGTGCGATGAGGGGGAGGCGGACGAGGGACGGAAGGACGAAGAGGAGAGGGAGGAAGATGAGGGGATGGAGGAGGGGAGAAGTGAGGAAGAGGAGGGGAGGGAGGGAGAGGAGGGAAGGCAGGGAGGAGCGGAGGGTGTCACATGCAGCAACAGACATTCTTCATTTGAAGCAGCGGCAGTGTCACTGCTGGTGCTCAAACAGGGCGGCCAGCACTCTGCACCACCACCACCAGCACCACCAGCAGCAGCACCAGCAGCCCTAGCAGCACCAGCAGCACCAGCAGCACCAGCAGCACCGGCAGCAATGCAGCAGCCCGCCGTGTCTTCGTGTCTCACCCTCTCGCTCTCTCCCTCTTCCCCACCACCCGCTCATCGCCCCACTGAACCTCTCGCCTCAGGTGCTTCAGGTGCCTCAGATGCCTCAGGTTGGTGCGACCCGCTGGCACTCTCCCTCACCCCCTCTCCCCATCTGCCTCACACGTGGCGCATGCAGCAGCAGCAGCAGCAGGGTGGGGCAGGTGGAAACGCAGTGGCACATGGCAGGCATGACGTGGCACAAGGCGTGCATTATGTGGCACGAGGTGTGCATGACGTGGCACGAGGCATGCATGAGGTGGCACAAGACACGGCAACGCACCCTAAAGGAGGAAGCGCGGTGGGGCCACAGAAGGAAGTGCCAGAGACGCCAAGGCAGGGGGGCGAGGGCATGAGGGGAGTGGCAATGTACGGCTGTGATGAAGCGATAGGGGAGGGGAGCAGGGAGAGCGAGGCACGTGCATCTGCTGCTGCACTGGCAAGAGCAGCAGCCGGGGAGGCATTGCAGCCCAGTGCCCATGGTGCTGCTTTCGCTCCCGGTGTCGCTAATGGTGTTGCTGTTGGTGTAGCTACTGGTGTTGCTGGTGGTCCAGGAGCTGCTGGTGGGATGCGGCGCATCAAAGTGAGTAATGGGTGCTGGCTTGACGCATGCATGCAGACATCGCGTGCTGCCCACTTTGGGTGTGTGGTGCATGATTGGTGAGCGTAACCTGTCTCAACGATGCTACATGCCGTGCATGGTGCGTGGCACCATCACCATTCCCACATCCCCTTGTGCTGAACTTGTCGTCTCTTCCCCTTGTCTTCCAATCGTCCCTTGCATCTGCCACCTGCGGGTGGAGGGCAGCCCGGTGGGGCGCATGGCGGGTGCGTGGCGCCTGCTGGTTTCCTCAACCCAATCTCAATCCATCCTCCCAACCCCCCACCCTCTCTTTCCTCTTCAGCTGCGCATGGAGGGCAGCCCGGTGGGGCGCACGGTGAATCTGAGTGGGCTGGCCGGCTTCCAATCACTGTATGCCACGTGCGCAGCCATGCTGCAGCTGCCCCTGCAACAGCCGTGCGCCAATGTGGCATCTGAGGTGACTCAAACGCCGCCATGGCAGCTCACCTACACCGACGCCGACGGCGACACCCTCCTCGTGGGCGATGGGCCCTGGAGGTCAGCTCTCCTCTCTCTGCTGCTCCTCTCTTCTGCTCCTCTCTTCTGCTCCTCTCTCTTCTGCTCGTATCTCTTCTGCTCCTCTCTCTGCTGCTACTATCTCTTCTGCTCCTTTATATTGCTGCATCTTTGCTTTCTCTCTTTCTGCCTCACGTCTGTCTGTCTCCTTTCTGCTTTCTCCCGTGTGCTGTGTGCAGTGAGTTTGTGAGGGACGCACGGAAGTTGTTCGTCATAAGGACGCCCTAGCTTCAGGATTGGGGAAGTGACTGGCCAATTTTGCTTGGATGTTTGTACAAATGTGTTGGATGCAATAATAATGTGCTTACAGTTTGTCAGGGGACTGCTAAATGATACTTTGAGCCAAATTACTTCAGTGGAGTGTGCCACAGTTCTAGTGTCTGCTTCTGAGGCAGTATGCTTCTGTGGTCACTCATACCTCACAGCCTTCTAAAGCATTCAAGTCCCAAGATGAACAAAGAACATTGATTGTAAGAAATGGAATCCAATAACATTCTCAATGCACCAGGTTCAAGGAAACCTATTGAATACAAGCAAAGAGGTAAAAGTGAACGATATTTTTATCCCCGCATATTACACACCCTGAAGCATCTTAAACTCAGGGCTTTAACCTGAATCAAGCCATTTGAATGCCCTTGTACGACGCGATAGTCGGCATGTCGTGGCCGTCGTACGCGGTGTAGAGGCAGTCAGGCGACAGCACGCCCGACGTGCGGTAGTCCTTCACATTGCCGTCCAGGAAACCAGCACCGCTCGGCCCGTCAGCGGCGATGGGTCGCCCGATCACCTGCGACAGCGTGTTGTAGTCGAGCGCGCGCTTCTCGCGCCCGTCGCGGTACGTCTGCCCCATGATGCCGTGGATGTCATCGGTCCTGTAGATATGCTCGAAGTGCACGTTCAAGTGCGCCTCCGCGTCGTCCTTGGTCTGCAGCAGCGGGTGCGCCACGCGGAGCTTGATGCCCATCTCGATGAGCCCCTCGATTTTGAGGTGGTACGCGTCCACGTCGAAGAAGCCCCGCCCGGCCTTCTCGTACGCCTCAAACGCGAATGTGAGGCCGCCCTTGAGAGAGTACTTCTCACCGAGCTTCAGCAGCGGCAGCACGTGCCCGTCGTACTCGATCTCCTTCAGGAAGCCCTTGCCGCGCGCCGTCTTCTTGCCGTCACGCGCCAGCAGGCGGAATGAGTGCTTCTTGCCGGCGGCGTCGGTCCACAGGAATCCCAGCTCGCGGATCCACGTGCGCACCGCCTTGCCGTTCTTGAGAATGGAGGCGCCGGTGGTGCGCGTGTCATAGTACCCGCGCATGCGCATGTTCACGTGCAGGTTGCGGTCCGTGAGCAGGCAGAACGACTGCTCGGGAAGACCATTGAACTCGAAGCGCGTGCCGTGCGCGCCGCGGAAATGCGGGTCGTTCTCACCCTCGCCGCAGGGGTGGCCGACGGTGCTGATGTTGGCGAGGTTGCGCTGATACTCCGTGCCGTCGGCGAGCTGCAGAGTGATCTGGTTCGTGACGCAGCCGGGAGCGTAGCCCGGGGGGTAGAGAATGCAGATACCGCAGCCGGAGCAGGCGGAGGCGGCGGGCTTGAAGTGCTGCCAGTAGGAGCACGTGTTGTTGTTGGTGCACTCCGCGCAGCACTGCTCCACCTTAACGGCGTTGCCCGCGCAGTAGGGAAGCCCTGCCTTTTTGTTGTCAGTCGCCGTCGCCGTTGTGCAGCGCAAAAACGCGAGCGAGTACTGGCCCATGTAATAGCGCGTGGGGTTATCTGTGGAGCAATTCCTAATGCACAGCTGATCTGTGTCGCACGAGGTGTAAGTCACTCGCCCGCTGTCCAAGTCCGCCTGGTACCTGCCATCGTTCCATGCGATCCCTGAAGCGCGCGTGGTGGCAACGCAGGCAAGAACTACGATTAAGGCGACGGCGAACCTACCCATCTCGTCGACCAACGTCAGCGGCAGGAGGTGAGGGATTCAGTACTACTGTAAAATATTATGGAAGAGAAAACAATCTAGCATACAATAATTGGCCTGACCTAGAAACTAGCGGAACAATTGTCTGAGAGAGAGAGTTAGCCCTTGTTTGATGTGGGAACGACCTCGGGGCGGAATGGCTCTTGTTGCTCCGCCTCACTCGTGCCACCGAGCTGGGGCGAGCTGTGGGACGACGAGGACACAAGGCAGGTGAAAGAACGATCAGTCGTCGCAGAACTGTAGACAGGTCTCGACTGCTGGCAACCACCTGCGCTGCGACTCTGGAAGTAAACAGCACGGAAACTCAGGTGGGAATGAATATCGTCAAGAACGGGTTACTAATGACATTGTCGTTTGCAACGAATTGATTGGTGTGTGGTGGCTTTGTCGCATGTTTGACTTAACAGGGATACCACTTCTCTTAGCTTCGTGGGGTCCAGAACCGAGCAGCGAAACAGCTGTTGCTTAGTGCTGTTCCGCCGTTGAGTCGCAACCATCAATGGAGTTTTGACGTACAGTACCACATTTCAGGAGGGATTTTCGCCACGGCAACGACCAGCTTTCGGCACCTGAGATACCGACAAATCTCGACAAAGTAAAAATGTTCTCTGTGTTCTGGAGGACCACGGCCTCCCTCGACCACCTGTTCTCTGTTTTCCTGCCCCTCACCGTTAGATGCGCAAATCCAACAACCTCCCGTATAAATACACCCACATAGGGATGCATCTACAGCGTTCTATGCTAAACGTTAAGATAATTACCCTACTTAGTGTTAACAAATATATTGATATAGCTTAGCTAGGTCATATTTGTTTATAGCCTAGCTATTTTAGCTCTTAGTGAGTACAGACCTAGTTTTGTATCCAGCAATATTTTCCCTTAGTCACAACTTTCCCCGCTACTCTAACATAATATAGAGCTAGGTTAGATTTTGTTTCCGTAGTTTCTCACGCTTCCACCGTTACTCCCGCTACCGTCGTTACTATAGCTTCTTAATTTTCGCGCGTGTGCACACCTCTCAATTTTGCGCACTGTAGCCTTCCAATTTCGTGCATTATAGCCTTCCAATTTCGCGCTTCGTAGCCTCGAGCTCCCCCCCCACCCCCCCTAGCGATCGATACTTTGTTCCGTGCGGTACTCAGCAGGCCGGCACGCCAGCCAGCGCGCTAGCCAGTTAGCCAGCTCGCTCGTTAGCTCGTCAGCCAGCTTACTAGCCCGCCGCCTTAGCAAGCTCGCCGCCAGCGGTGCTAGCCAGCTAGGGAACAGCAGCGCCAGGCAGCTTGCTGCCAGCAGCTTCCGCTAGCTCGCTGCCAGGAGCGCCAGCACCGCCAGCCAACTAGCTGCCCACGGCTTTCGCCAGCAGCTAGTCGTCAGCAGCGCCTACCAGCTCGCCGCTGCGACTGCTATTGCCGCTGTAGCCATAGTCATCCGCTGCCGCTGCAGCCGCCACTGCCATTACAGCCGCTGCCACTGCTGCTGCTGTCGCCGCCACTACTTCCAGCAGTGCCTCTCCGCGGCAGCCACTACCGCTGCCACTACAGCTACTGCCGCAGCCACTGTTACAGCTGCCACTGCTGCCTCTTGCTCTGCAACTACTGCTACTGCCGCAGCTCCTGCAGTTACTACCGCTGCAGCCACTTACGCCGCCGCCGCTGCCCCTGTCGCCGCTGCTGCCGCTTGCGCTGCCGCCGCTGCCGCCACTGCCCCTGCCGCAACTACTGCAGTCCCTACCACTGTTGCAGCCACCGCTGCCACTACTGTCACTACCGCTGCCGCTACCGCCACTGCCGCTGCAGCTGCTGCCATTGCAGTCACCCCTGCCGCCGCTGCCCTTGCAGCCGCCGCTGTTGCCACTACCCTTGCCACCGCCGCTGCCCGTGGCAGCCATCACTGCTGCCGCTTCCCTTGCAGCCGCCGCTGCCCTTGAAGCTGCCGCTGTAGCTGCTGCCCTTGCAGCCATTGCCGCCGCTGCCCTTGCAGCCGCCACTGCCCTTGCAGCCACCGCTCTCGGCGCGTCTCGGTGCTCTTTCGAGATAGTATAGCTCTCACCACGCTTCCTGCGCCGGTCCGCGTCGCACTCGCAGACTCCTCCACCACAGCTGTTGCACGTAGCATCACCACTCTTCCCTGTCCAGCTGTCCCCTCTGGCTTCCTCACCGGTCTACACATCCCCTCGTTTGCCAGGAACCTAGTGGGTGTCGATTACCTTCAGGACCGAGGCGTCACCACTATGTTCCCTGGCCGCAAGAGGCACGCCGCTTGTTCAGACACAGTCATCGGTCTACACTAAGCCAATTTTGAGCGTGACCCTAGGTCAGGTCTCTTTACACTGCACACTGAGTCTCCGCCGGCTACTGCGTCTGCCAAGGTCACCGCGTCCTGCTCCTGTCACTCATTAGCCAACCTGACCCTTCTGTGTTACCACCGTTTAGGTCACCTTGCGCTCCCGCATCTTAGGCACATATCCCAGCACGGGCTAGTCACTGGTCTCCCTGCGTCGCTACCCGCCCTGCCTCCATCGGTAGCGCCACTATGCACCTCCTGCGTCGAGGGCCGGAAGCGTGCCGCCCCTCACTCCTCCTCGTTTCCTCGTACCATAGCGCCACTACAGACACTGTACATGGACGTCTGGGGCCCTGCCCTGGTCCATGGTCTTAGCTGGGAGTGCTACTTCCTAGTCGTCGTTGACGAATTCTCGCGGTTCACCACCGTGTTCCCACTGAAGCGGAAGGCCGACGTGCCTACCGTTCTCCTCCCGTGGCTTCTTGCTATTCGCACCCACCGCTACTTGCCTGTAGGTCGCTTACACTCTAACCGAGGTGGCGAGTTCGTCTCTGGCACTCTATGATATTTCTTCCGTGCGCAGGGCATCCACCAAACGTACACACTACAGGACTCCCCACAGCAAAATGGGGTCGTTGAGCGACGCATCCGCCTGATCATGGAGGTGACTCACACCTCCATGGTCCACGCCAATGCACCTCATTTTCTGTGGCCGTTCGCTGTGCGCTATGCTGCTCACCAGCTTAACCTGTGGCCACACTCCCAGCGGCCACAGGTTTTGCCGACCTTCCTCTGGACCGGGTGTCCTGGTGAAGCGTCTACGTTCCACGTCTGTGGCAGCCTTGCTCATGTCCGCGACACTGCCGCGGACAAGCTCTGAGCCCGCACCCTTCCTTGTGTCTTCCTTGGTTTTCCGCTTGACACCTCTGACTGACTGTTCTACCACCCGTCACACCACCGCTTTTACCACTCTTGTAACGTTACCTTCGACAAGACACTCCCCTACTATCATCGCTTCCCGCATCGCAGTGCTCCTGTGCCTCCTCCTCCTCTTTTCCTTGT